GCTAGTCTCAAACCTGCGGGCTCAGGCAATTCACTTGCCTTGGCCCCCCAAAGTGCTGGGACTGCAGGCTGGGCCACCGAGCCTGGTCACCCTCTTCTATTTTTTAAGGACTTTTGTAAGATAATCTAAAGGTCAGCTCATTAGCACCTTAATTCCTCCTTGCCACGTTAGTTAACACAGCATCACAAGTCCAGGGAATAGGACGTGGACATCTTTGGGGGCCATTACTCTGCTTAGCACAAGACAGTTTTGTCTTACTCATAAGGTTGTTTCAAGGATTACTGGTATTTCCAAATTCTTTCCAGTTCTTGCAATCTAGTCCTGAAAACTGAAACTCATTTAAAAGGTATCACCACTCATTTATTCAACAAATACCCACTAAGTTCTAAGTTAATGAAACAAAGCATATGAAGTACTTAGAGTCTGACATCCAGCAAGCACTCAATAAACTGTCACCTCTTATCACCTTGTGATCCTCATAATTTTATAATCTCTTCAGTAATATGGTCCCAGTCACAAGAATCTACTTCTTAGCCTGAACTTTCTGAGATCAGTGTTTCTAAAACTCAGTGAAACACTGCTTTTTCTTCCAACTATAAATTTCAACATGACATTTTCTCCCGGGTCCTGAGAACCAACATGTCTTCTGTGTTAAGGCAGAATTAGAACTGAGATAAGCTTCCCCTGCCTGCTAAGAGATGAAACATCCCACAAGACCAGTCAAAACTCCTCCCGGTCAGCCATGGTGACTCACAACTATAATCCCAGCACTTTGGGAGGCTGAGGTGGGAGGACTACTTGAGCCCAAGAGTTTGAGACCAGCCTAGGCAATATAGGTAGACCTCAACACTACAAAAAAAATTAGCTGGGTGTGGCAACATGAGCTAGTAGTCTCAGCTACTCAGGAAGCTGAGGCAGGAGGATTGCTTGAGCCCAGGTGGTTGAAGTTGCGATGAGCTGTGATTGTGCCACTGCACTCAGCCCAGGCAACAGGGTGAGACCCCAACTCAAAAAAAAAAAAAAAAAAAGCACCTGGCATGCTCTGGCTCTAACAGTGGCACTGACATTTCTGTGATTCTGTATTGTGAGGGCACTGTCCTTCTCAATGGTCTGCAGCATGACTCCAAAACACCCTCTGTGTGGTTTCTCTGTACCATACCCACACACAAAGATCTCTAGCGGGTCCCAATGCCAGCCTCACAGAATTCAGCTTCCAGACAGATGAACATGGTTTTTATGCAAAGTGAACTCCATCCTGCATTGCAACCACACGCTTCTACGGAAGGTGGCTACTTCCACTTCACAACAGTGGGGACTCGTTTGTCCAATGTCATACAGGGGAGTGATTCCTTACAGGCAAACATGGAGCCCTTTCAGGGTCTTGGGTTTATCTTTAAGCAGCTAACCCAACGTTATTGATCTTGAAGTATACTTCAGTTTTTTGGTTGCTATTTTTTCAATCCATAAGCATTATCTTTTATCATATCTGTTTCTCACTTTAAATTTTTTTTGTCTCCCCTTGCCTTTTGTTTTTGAGTTGGAGTCTCACTCTGTGGCCCAGGCTAGAGTGCAGTAGCATGCTCATGGTCACTGCAGTGTTGACCTGCTGGGCTCTGGCGATCCTTCTGCTTCAGCCTCCCAAGTAGTTGGAACTACAGGCACGCACCACCATGTCCAGCTAATTTTTTGATGTATCATAGAGGTGAGGTCTCACCAAGTTGCCTAGGCTGGTATCAAACCCCTGGACTCAGGCAATCCTCTTGCCTCCACCTCCCAAAGTGCTGGGATTACAGAGGCATGAGCCACCACGTCCAGTCTTTTGCCCCCCTTTCTATCTCAAAATTGTGCTTGAAGCTTTTGATTATGTCAGTCATGCGTCTCATGACCAAGGTTCCCTGCTTGTCTCAAGAGCTGCTCTTGCTGGGTCAAGGGATGAAATCTTCAACATGGGACCTCCATCACACGGTCGGCAGGCTTAGGGATGCAGAAGCCTGAACACCAGGGTCCTCAGGGCCAGAAGAGCCAATGAGTTCTGGGTGTGGCACCTGCAGACTGAGGGTAGGCTATGCTGGTCTGGGGTCCCAAGGAGATCTGGGAGCTGGGCACAGCACAGTGGGCAGGTGGCCTGCGTGGGTCCTCTGGGGACTGTGTAGGTGCCATGCTCTCACCTTGACTCCTGAGGCAAAGGGATTGGAGATCCTCCTCCCCCAGGAAGCACACAGGTCCTCCCCTTAGAGTGCAATTAGGACCCTTCCGACCCACCACTGCTGGCAGACTTCACCCAAATGCCCCAGCCACCTCTGTCAGGAGACTCTACCCCTGCTGCCTCTCTGCTGTGGGGCAAAGTTTCCTCTTTCAAAAGGTTTGGTCATGGTCAGGAATGGTGGCTCACACCTGTAATCCCAGCACTTTGGGAGGTGGAGGAGAGAGGACTGCCTGAGTCCAGGAATTTGAGACTAGACTGGCCTGGGCAACTTGGCAAGACCTTGTCTCTACAATAAATAAAATAATTAGCCGGGTGTGGTGGCACGTGCCTGTAGTTCCAGCTACTTGGAAGGCTGAGGTGGGTCGCCTGAGTCCAGCAGGTCGAGGCTGCAGTGGCCGTGAGCATGACACTGCATTCTAGCCTGGGCGACAGAATGAGACTCCAAATCAAAAAAAAAGGGGGCCTGGTCATGTTCTCCCATCCATCATCTCTTGAGCATAATTTATTTTTATTTTATTTTAATTTTTTGAGTCAGGGTCTTACTCTGCTACCCAGACTGGAATGCAGTGGCATAATCACAGCTCACTGCTGCCTCAGCTTCCTGGGCTCAAACGATTCTTCCACCTCAGCCTCCCAAGTAGCTGGGACCACAGGCATGCGCCACGGCGTCCGGCTAATTTTGTGATTTACTATAGAGACGAGGTCTTACTATGTTGCCCAGGCTGGTCTTGAACTCTTGGGCTCAAGCAATCCTCCTGCCTCAGCCTCCCAAAGTGCTGGTATCAAAGTCATCAGCAAGCATGCCCAGCCCGCAATTTCCTTCTGTCACCTTCAGAAATCATATTTTCTTCCTGGCTTCCTTCCAGGTTCTCTCTTTCATCTGTCTAAGGCCAATCCATCCTTGCTAATAAACTCAAGGGAGGAGGGCGAATATGTACTACTGGCCCTTTTATCTTCCGTTTGCCCAGGAAAACCAGCTCTCACCTGGGCAGACACAACTGGCCACTGCCTCAGTCTACAGCCTACCACTCCCACGCGGCTCTCAGAGTGTGCCTTCCTGCCCTAAATTCCAGTTTTCAGATCTTCAGATAAGCTAAGAGTCCTCTTGGTTCCCTCTGAAAGCTCCCCAGCAAAACTGCCAGCAACTGCACACTTTGTTTATGTTGCTTATGTTGTTTATGGTGTCCTAGGTCAAAGGTGTGAGGGAAAGGTGGCTTCACAGAGTACTCTGGAGGCCCTATTAATCCAAAGATTTTATTAACTGCATCCTTTCACTCCCTAACCATGCTGGGTAATTATCCGACTTTGTGTCCTGACAGCCAGCATCGGAGGGGGGAATACTATTAATCTGACCTATACTTTTGGTTTTGTCATTTATTTTATTTAAAAGGCTTCCGTATTATTTTACAGTTCAAAAGATCATGCACAAAAACACAAATGTACATCGATGATAATTATACCAAAATGGCATGAGTAAGGCTTGTAAGTAAAAGCCTCAAAATAAAATTTAAAAAACAGTGGTTCAATGAATAAGGCACAATAATTTAAGTGGCAGTGAGAATACAGGTGAGAGAGAAATTCAGAGCATTCTATTTAACAAATGACAGCTCAGCAAATTTTAACTAAAAGCTCTGTACTAAAAATGTGAACATATATTGACTATATAAAACTTATTTGAAAAGCTCAATTTTGGTATTCTGAAACCAATGCAATTGTTATACAGTCATATTCCCTGTCCCTATGGGGCTTAAGAAATAGGTATAAACTCCAAGAAAACGAGCCTGTAAAGACCGAAATTGTCAGTGCTATTATGCAGGCTGTAAAGTGCACTTTACACCACCAGATTACAGTCATACTGGGCCTTAATGAGTCTAACTAAAAGACTTTTTAGTAATTTTCATTTTGCATGGATTAGGGAGTATTAGTGGGGCCCATATGATCTTCTATAAATCAGAAGAAGATCAAACAACATAGTGTTTGCAGCGGGACCTGTGCTCTGGGCAGTGTCTCTAGCTTACCCATTTGGGGAGCCGCCCCTAAGGGTTACACAGTATGAAGGGACCCTGGAGGTTTTGGACTCTGTCCTCATGCACCATTGGGGTTGAGATGAATGGACTTGGCCATTTAATCAAGCATGCTAGCAGCAATGACTCTGTTCTATTTGTTTTCTGGAGGGTTTTAATAGCAAGGCCCTATAAATTTCAACCACAACAGTTTTTATTTCATAGTGCTTCCCAAAAGAGCATCCAAAGAGCTGGAGAAACACGTACCCCAGATATTGGCAGGCCTAGGAATTGGAATCAGCACCAAGGAAGAATCTGCTTACGATTACCCTCTCCTAAAGAGTCAAAGCCAGGGCCCAAACCAAGTTCAGGCACAGGTCTGGCAGGGCACAGACTAACCAGAGTGGAGGTGAAAAATGAAAACAAAACCAACAAGGCAGGAAAACAGCAACAGCAAAAACCAAAAAAACTCAACTGTTTTCCTGTTCAAAGGTTTCCACAAAAATATATTTGCGTGCTCTCAAAAATCCAGTCTACGGCGGGTCTAAACCTCTCACTAAGCTTTGGGGAGTCTGAATCTCTACAAGATTCTTTCTGATGATTCTGGCGTGAGCAGAGGGAGACTGTCTGGAAGGTTCCAGGAGATCCTGTTTATCTTAAAAGTGTGAGCTTGGCTTTGCTGAGTTGTGGCCATTAAATCGTTCCACCCTCCCTTCCCCTCCCCACCCCACCCCACCCCACTCCACCCCACCTGCGGGCGCTGGCGGGAGAACTTTGTGTTAATGCCGTACCTGCCATTCCTGGTATCGTGTTGCCGCATGTTCTTGATAAAATGAATCTTCTTAAAATTCTTTGGTCTGGGCGAACCTGAGAGAGTTCGACATCTGAAAAATAAAGTCATTTCAAAAACACAGTCAGTTGCCTGCTGGACAGCTGAAGTATCTTCCACACAGAGACAGGACGGAAAGACCAGACAAATGGTTTGAGTCACCCCAAAGCAGGCAGGAGACTACAGGCATAATGAAGACAATACGGCTGGAAGCAAGGAAGCTTTAAAAAAAAAAAGCCCCAGTGACAGACAACTTCCTTGATAACTCTGATCATATTTTATATGGGTCTCTGAAACTCTGATCATATTTTATATGGGTCTCTGAAAAGCCAGCTAATGAAAAGTATTGTTCCCAGTTACAATAAAATAACCTACACAGATCCCAAAGACATAGTTCTTCATTGACAACTTTAAAAGAATCCTGTATCAACACAGGTGAAGACTGTAAATTTAAAAGACTTTTTTAAGGGGGTGGGGGTGGGGGGAACACTGGAAAATCCAGTTTAAAAACAGCCCTGAATTGTTTTTCTTCTGGAACAGGATTTTGGCCTGAATCACCTGGACAGCTGCCTCAGCTCTCGATCTGGACTGACCGTGCCTGGGAAATTGCAGCTTTAAACTGAACGAAATCAGAGACCCGGCTAGTTGCTGGGATTTTAAATTTTAAGATAAACTTTAAATAAACATGTGTTGAGCAAAAGTGATTGGCTTCAAAAATTATCTTTTTCCTGGAATAAAGGACATTTGCTTGCACTACAGGACTGGGAAAACAGGCCGTAGAGATCTTATTTGTACATAGTGTTTTCAAAATTGTCTGGTAAAGTATAAGTTACACACTGTAGCGGCAGCAGCAGTAACAGCAACAACAAAGCAAACAACTGAGCAAACAAGAGCCCGAAGCTTAGTCTTGATGAAGGGTGCTGTGACTTGTCTACTGTGGTTTTGGCTACCAGAAAACCTTCTGACCACGGGCCCCCAGAGCTGGCTCCTGCCATGGGATGTGGATGCCTGTGACTTTATGCTTCAGAAAGCGAGTTCTGGAGAAGCAGTGCCCACCTTCCCAAAGCCCACATTGAGGTCTGGGCTGCAATGTCACCTGACTTCAGCCAGAAGTCTGAACCTTGAGGCTACAGGTCCAGGAGTAACAAGATGGTTCACCAAGGAAGCTGAGTTCAGGGGGAGTCGGGGTGTGGAGGCAGGTCTGGGAATCAGGTTGAGGAATGGACAGGGATACAGACCCACTGAGCTACCTCAGTCTTTGCTCTCCCTCAAGGGCCCGTTTCAAGGGCGGCCAGGAAGGGCATCCCCCATCTATCCTTCTAGTAAGAAGGGCCAGGCTTAGTAAAAAAGGGTCAGGCTTCCTAGAAGCCCTTTCTCAGAGAGTGTCAAAAAAAAATTTTTTTTTGAGTCAGAGTCTCACTGTCGCCCAGGCTAGAGGGCCGTGGCATGCTCACGGCCACCGCAACCTTGACCCACAGGGCTCAGGTGATCCTTCCGTCTCAGCTTTCCAAGTCGCTGAAACTACAGGCGTGCACCACCACGCCCAGCTAATTTTTTGATTTATTGTTGAGACGAGGTCTTGCCAAGTTTCTCAGGCTGGTCTCAAACCCTGGACTCAGGCAATCCTCTTGCCTCGGTCTCCCAAAATGTTGGGATTACAGGTGTGAGCCACAGCACCAGGCCCATTTCTTTCTTTTAAGAAGCAGCACATTAAAATGTAATTTAGCCAGGCGCAGTGGCTCACACGTCTATAATCTCAGTATTTGGGAGGCAGAGGCGAGAGGATTATCTGAGCTCAGGGGTTTGAGACCAGCCTGAGCAACATGGAGAGCCCTTGCGAGACCTCGTCTTTACAATAAATAAAAAAAAAATCAGCCAGGCATGGTGGCACACGCCTGTGGTTCCAGCTACTTGGAAGGCTGAGGCGGAAGGATCAACTGAGCTCAGCAGGTCGAAGCTGCGAGGGCCGGGAGCGGCCACTGCACTCCAGCCTGGGTGACAGAATGAGACTCCGACTCAAAAAAAAATACATTAATAAAAAATAAAATAAGATAAAATGTAATTTAACTTGAATAGATAACACTGAAGTAAACAAATTTAGTTAGATCAAAGCAAAAGCATGCTATTAGGTATTATCTGGTGGCTTTCATCAGGAAAAAGGGGTTCCATGGGCCAAGGGTCCAGAGAAGGAACGCCTCACTCTGGTCATTGTCCACTCCACTAGGGCAAGAAGCTTCAACAGACACCACGGTCCTCCTGGCTTTCACCCCTAAATTTACCACCCACCTGGACCCATCACTATTATTAATATTTCTAATCCCTCCGTGCCATTGTTGTGAGGATTAAACATGAGAATGTATGAGTTTCACAAACTATCAAGTGACACCTTTGAATACAACCCATGTCCTTATGTATACATACATACAAATATTCATATAGAAATTTTAAGTGGTGTTATTATTAACAAACCATTAGCTACAAAGGGTATGTCTATTTTGTTACTATTTGTCTCCTACATTACTTTTTTGTGTGTGTGTCAGAGTCTCACTCTGTTGCCCAGGCTAGAGCACGGTGGCATGATCATAGCTCCCCATAGCTTCGACCTCTTGGGCTCAGGCAATCCTCTGGCCTCAGCCTCCTGAGTAGTTGGGACTACAGATACACATCACCATGGCCAGCAACTAATTTTTTCATTTTTTGTAGAGACGAGGTCTCGATATGTTTGCCCAGGGTGGTCTCAAACTCCTGGTCTCAAGTGATCCTCCTGCCTCAGCCTTCCAAAGTGCTGGGATTATAGGCGTGAGACACCATGCCCAGCCTCTAGTGGCTTCTAGACAGGCCCAAGGGCCAGGAGTGTCCTGATACCCTTCTCCTTCTTCCCCCCTAAAAAGCAGGGCTTCCTGTAGCCAGCCAGTTGGAGGGCAACGGGCCAAGAGCCGAACAGTGAGCAGGTTCAGGTGGCTCACGGATCCTGCCACCTCAGCAAACCCTGCCACCTCTTTCCTTCTACCTCCCAATAGCAGGAAGCTGGTACCAATGCCAGCGCAGAAGAAGGGCAGCCTTAGGGGCTCCCTGTGCCTGCAGAAAGAGGGGCCCCAAATTCCTCAGCCCTCTGCTAGAAGGGGAAGTCGGCCAAAGGGCCACAGGTGGCTGGCTGGGCCAGCAGGGGAAGGAGGCAGTGGCTGTGATCACTTGAACAGCTGTGGCCGCCAGCACCCACTAATCCAGACAGTCTGGAAAACCAGGGCAGGTGCTGATGGCCACTACATTTCCCACAGATAAACCGTGGGTTTTCTCGACGCCTAGCAGAGGCGGCCTAACTCCTTATTTTTGGACACCAGGTAACCATCAGGCAGGTGGAAAACCTCTCAGTCTGAGTCCTCTCATGATAAATGCTCAAGTCCTAGAGTCCTGGGTGGATACAGGAAACACACGAGCCAACTGGGATGTGCAAGAGAAAGGTAAGACTTTTACCAGGGTAACTTAACAAAGGCCTTTTATTTCCAAATCGGCACCCGCTTCTAACTACATACACACCCTACTAATCTAGCCCTTCACTTGGCAAGCTATTTGCTGTCTTGTGTGTATATTTTTTTAAGCATTCAACTAAACCACCAGGGAACCTAAGAGATGCTCTAAGAGAACTGTGGCGTTAGCAACAATTGCCAAGGAAACTGGGATCCGAAGCACGCAGGTTGCACAGGTTAAGCAGAGAAATGAATTAATTTCAAAGCTGCCTGCATTAATGTGTAAACATCTATTTAAAAACATACATTTTAAGTGACGCAAAATTAAATCAGGATGGAATTAAATTAAAAACTAATTTAACGAAAGATTAGCTCTTTCTTGTTAGCGCTGATTACAGGATACACTTAATTATGCAAGAGGTTTAACAGAGAGGCCTGGAGCCATTTGTTCTTCCTGCTCAGCTTAAAAGCAAGTTGGGTTAATAGGCCTCCACCCCCACAGTTGTCAAAACACTTCATTACTAGTACCTTCATTTCACAGACCCGAAAGGCCCTCAGAAATCAGCCGATTGGGCCCGCCCATTTTAGAGGTGGGAAAACTGAGGACCAAGAGACACTAAGCAAATGTCCAAGGCCACATAACCATTTAGAAGAGTCTGGCCAAAAACTCAGCTTCCCTGAAACCCAAACCAATGTCCCTTCTTTTACACCAGGTTCCTTTTATTTCTTGGCATCAGTCCATTTCAAAGTAAATATGAGAACTTTCTTTAAATTTAAAACAAGTGTATTTGGGGAACACAGAATTCTAAAACTGCCCAAACTCCCTTGATTGCTGACTTATTCTTAAAATTCTATAATAACACACTATTTGTCTGAAGTTAAGTACAGTATTCCGTATGTAAGAATTGGATGAAGTAATGGTTAAAGCAGACAAGCCATTTGTACTTGCTCCTTGGTGCTACCTTGGGGCTGAGGGGTAGAGGGCAGAAGACCAGTCTGGGCTGATTCTGAGGAGGGCACAGGGGTGACAGGGCCCTGACCTGGAACAGAGCCTAGGTCCTTCCCTCAACACCTGGAGACACAAGGACACCTGTGTCTGGAGGCGCCACAGACCTGCCTGGGAACCACAGCTCCAGCCACAGCTCTCCCTCACCCCTGCCACAAACAGGGAAACCAGGGAATAAAGTGCAGAAGCCCCTGGTATTCTAAGAGGCAGCCAGAAGCCATGGCTGAACAATGTGGTAGCTGTGAGCCGTGGTGGGATCGTCAGAGCAGCACCTCACCGGCTCCAACACCAAAGATGCCCAGTGTGTTGAGAACCTTTCTCCTCTACTCTTGAAGACTGGATTAAAGCCAGCTCCCTCATTTGACTTTTCATATAGCTTTTTGTATGACTCCTGCAGGGAAACAGTCTTCTCCCAACATTTAACAGTGCCTTAGAGGGGGAACACTCATGTCCAAGCCACATTTACCACGCGGCCACGTGCCACTTATCCTAAGATGCCTACTAGTGGTTATGTACACTTTCAACGGGACTTCGGGAAGTAGAGATTTTGGCCAGGCTCGGTGGCTCACACTTATAATCCTAGCACTTTGGGAGGCTGAGGCAGAAGGATTGCTTGAGTCCAGGAGTTCAAGACCAGCCTGGGCAACATAGAGAAATCTTGTCTCCACAAAAAAGAAAAAATTAGCCATACATGGTGGCACACACCTGTAGTTCTAGCTACTCAGGAGGCTGAGGCGGGAGGACTGCCTAAGCCCAGCAGGTCAAGGCTGCCGTGATGGTGCCACTGCACTCCAGTCTGGGCGACAGAGTGAGACTCTGACTCAAAAAGTGGAGACTGAGCCGGGCTCAGTGGCTTAGCCTGTAATCTCGCGCTTTGGGAGGCCAAGGTGAGTGAACTGCCTGAGCCTGGGGGTTTGAAACCCACCCGGGCAATTTGGCAAGATCTCATATCTACAATAAATCAAAAAATTAGCCGGGCATGGTAGCGTGCGCCTATAGTTCCAGCTACCTGGAAGGCTGAGGCGGAAGGATCGCTGGAGTCCAGCAGGTTGAGGCTGTGGTGGCTGGTAGCGGCCACTGCACTCCAGTTTGGGTGACAGAGTGAGACTCCAACTCAAAAAAAAAAAAAAAGGGGAGATTGAACTGTTTGGCTCTGACCTTCTTTTTGGGATGACACTGGTGACGAGCTATATGGTCGCCTGATACTTTTGATCAAACACCAGGCCTGTCTGTGCCCACTCCATCCTCTGCTCTTTATGCCGGTGAAGGCTGTGGACACGACCTCTGACCTAGGAGTGAAGCTCCAGGAGGGAAAGCGCCAGCTCCAGGGTCCTCACCACCCCCTCTCAGCAGCACCCTCCAGGGCTCAAACAGGAAAACCAGGGGATGCCAAGGCCTGGCCAGCAGCCAAGGCACATGGAGATTGCAGCTGTGGGTTCCAGCTGGTGCAAATCCACAGAAGCTCACATCTGCCCGAGGCCCCACCTGCTGCCACCTGCCCTCTAGTCCCTGGGAAGCCCCTGCGTCCCAGCTGCAGCCCCTGTGCACTGCCCGCAACACCCCCCATTTCCCCTCCATATTCAGGGCTGTGGTGAGGATGAAAGGAGTCACAGTAACAGGAGTTCTTTCTCCTCCACAGGGAGGGCCTGGTTGGACCTCGGTACAGATGTAGACTGAGCTCGAGGAGGGGAACCTGAAAGTCACAGGCACAGCACAGCTCAGCCATCGCTGTCACCCCAAAAGATGCCTCGCAAGCACTTTTCTAATGCTACAGGACAAATGGATGGTTTGCAGACTCACAATTTTTTTTTTTTTTTTAGTTGGAGTCTCACTCCATCACCCCAACTGGAATGCAGTGGCACGCTCCCTGCCCCGGCAGCCTCGACCTGGTGGGCTCCGGCGATCCTTCTGCCTCAGCCTTCCAAGTAGCCGCAACTACAGGCGCATGCTACCACGCTCGGCTAATTTTTGATTTATTGCAGAGACGAGGTCTCACCAAGTCGCCCAGGTGGGTCTTGAACCCTGGGTTCAGGCAATTCCCTTTCCTCAGTCTCCCAAAGTGCTGGGATTACAGGCTGAGCCACCGAGCCCGGCCTACAAATATTTAATCAGGTTCCCCAGCAACAAGCTAGGAAGGGACATCGTAGTCACCTCCTAAGGAGCTCTGGTCACCCCTTCTGCTGACAATGAAGTTCGAGACCATTACCACTGTGTGACTACGCCTGGGGAAAGGGCCGGGACCATGCTGGGTTCTTCCATTAAGCAGCAGCTTTCAAAATGAGAAGGAACCACAGGAGGAAAAGCACCCACATTCCCGCATAAACTAGGCTATGCCACACATCATCGCTTTCTCAGTCCTCAGTGGTGGGGCTGCAAACTAGGAGGTGGTCCATCGTCCCTGGGATTCAGATGGTCACTTTAAATTTAATTCCATAGATCAAGAACTTAGAAACAAACACAATCAATATTTGGCTGCCATTTGTACTATAAACCATTTATAGCTTCCGACGTGGAAACATGGAAAACTCACCTCCGGAGAGGGGCGTTCTCCTCGATATCTTCCAGGGTCTCCAAGGAAGATCTCTGGGAAATGAGGCGCCGTCTGCAGAGAAAGGGGGGGAAAAACCTAGGGTTTACAATTGCTTTATTAAACTGATCAGATATTTCTATAAATCTAAAACTGTCCTTTAGGGCAAAAAAAGAGAGAAAAGACCAGACAAAAGGCGTCTTTAAGAAGCTGCCATGCCCCTACCCTGCATGCCAGGCCCCTGAGCCCTCCCTGGTCAGAGGGCTTCTTTGTGGTGATGAAGGAAGTGACTGACCCTTTTAATGCTGCAATTTCCCCCAAAGACAAAAAAAAAAAAGACAAGGTGCCTCTTGTAATACACTGTATAACTTCGGCACCATGTGCAGTTTGATGACACTACAAAGTATTCAAATACCAGTGATCTGAACCAGGCAACTAATAAATATTAAATTTTAAAGCCCTATTAAATAAAACTTCAAAATCATTAGGATGCAATAAAAAAGTTACAGTCTCTGGATGGCCATGATTTCAAAAGCAACTAGAAACAAGGAAGAAATGATTCCTTTGGGAGAGTTTCTCAGAGACCGATGAGAATGAATATGTGATTATGTAAAACATTAACTCTTCTGGGCTGCTACAGAACGCCAAACCACCTGCTAAAGCCACTAAAGCCGCCTCAATCCACCAGTTTCTTTTTGCCAGGCTGAAATAAGAACAGGTCCCAGTTAACTAAGAATGTCAGGTACAGGGAGGGAGCAGTGTGGCACGCTGGTAACTTTAAATTAACTCCACTTGAACAAGCACCATCATTTAATAATAAATGATTTGGCGGATGGTAGTGGCTAAAAAAATAAAGTTGGACCGGGTCTTTACCTTTACAAAATAATAGGTCTAGAAATATGAAGATAAGTCTATTTTTGCATTACACTTACAAAATTTAGGTTACGAACATGCTATTATGACCATGTTCTAATTTGTTTTGAAAAACAAAGAACGAAACAACTGTTTGGGTTTTTTTTAATTTTGTGTGTTCTTATTCTGACCAACTCTGACACCCAGAAAGGTCATTTTTGCAAACTATTCAAGGGTTTCATCAATTATTCAAACATATATAATTCTTTTTTCCTTTTCTTTCTTTTTTTTTTTTTTTTTGTAGAGACAGGGTCTTGCTATATTGCCCAGGCAGGTGTCGGCCTCCCAAAGTGCTAGTGTGAGCCACCATACTGGCCAAGGGCTTCATCAATTTTCCATGAAGCTGTCTTAATCTTTTGACATTCAAATCCTTTAAAAATACTCCTTTTCTCTTCTCTAACTGCAAGCTGGTCTAGTTCTCCCAGATCCTTACTCCACAACATGTGTGCTGCAAACAGCCGTCACACGACACTGTCGCTGTCTTCGTGACACACTGGGCCAGCCTTCTGGAGGAAGTATGCTTTCACCTAGCAATTTGCTAACCGTGACTTTCCATTTCCGTAATATTGCCAGTTTTCCAACAGTCGGCCAGAGACACTGGTCTTACCTGAGAGCAGGGTTCAGGGGGCCTGAGGGGGTGGGGAGCCGATCGTATAGGTGGCAAGTTCACGAGGAAATGGCACTTCCTGTGTAGCCTTGTAACTCTGGGGGCTCAGCTCACCAAGGACCCCATGGAAGCAACTGCAGCTGGGGCTCTGAAGCACTGATGGAGGTGCAGCCCTCCAAAATAAGGCCGGCAGGTGAGCAGTGGGCCCAGTTTTGTCAGGTGCTGTGACCTAGGCTGGGACTGGAACTGGGACAGATGCCCACTTGGTCCCACCCATTCACCCAGCTCTGAGCGGAGGCAGCCCATGCCCCCCATCCAAAGGGTGGGGTATTGCCACAAAGGAGCACGTCTACATGCGAGGGTCAGACACTCAGATTTCAAACCCGGGTCCCGAAGGCTTTGGCGCCTTAGAAAGCTCTTTAATCCTTAGGCCTCAATTTCCTCATCTATGAAATAGGAAACTGGCTCACACCTGTAATCCTAGCACTTTGGGAGGCTGAGGTCAGAGGATGGCTTGAGCCCAGGAGAGTTTGAGACCAGCCTAGCCAACATGGCAAGATCTCATCTCCACAAACATTTTTTAAAAAATTAGCCAGGTGTGGTGGCGCATGCCTGTAGTCCCAGGTAATCAGGAGACTGAAGCAGAAGGATCACCTGAGCCCAGGAAGTCAAGGCTGCAGTGAGCTGTGATTGTGCCATTGCACTGCAGCCTGGAGTGAGACTCTAACTCAAAAAAATAAAGTAACAAAGTTAAGGGGGGGGAGGAAAAGAAAGGGGCAGATGGAAAATTCTTGAACCCACGGCAGGCTTTTTTTTGTTGTTTTTTTGCCCAGGCTGGTACAGTCATGGTTCATCGCAGCCCTGACTTCCTGGGCCTCAGGCAATACTTCCTCCTCAGCTTTCTGAGTAGCTGGGATTACAGGCACACACCACCACATCTGGCTAATTTTCTTATTTTTTGTAAAGATGAGGTCTCGCTATACAAAGTGCTGGGATTACAGGCATGAGCCACTGTGCCCAGCCTCATGGCAGTTCTTAATGAACAGAAGCCACTGGGTTTTATTGACACTCCAGTGTTGTCCACTGAGGCTGCACCCTGACCTGCACCCCAACTCAGCAGACCAGGACCTGGTTGACTGTCCTAGCTCTGGCCCCTCCTCCGGTCCCAGCCAGTGTCAGGATAGTCCCAAATGCCTTGTGCTCAAGCCTACCTGAGACACTGTTCCTTTCACACCTGCGCTCACTTTTAAGCATAACTACTGTGCACATGTATACAACGGGGAACACAAATCACACTGGTGGGCTGGCCACCTACAAAATCTGTGCCCCTCAGGGCTCCCCAAAGCCAGAAAGTAGGGATTAAAATATTAACTCTGTTTATCCTGGATAATGTTCTGAGTTTTCAAGCCCAAAGTAAAATACTAATTCAAGTATACACACCTGAACTGTCATTAGAGATAACATAACCACGGGCATGTGTAGATTTCAGATCCCGAAACTCTCAACAAGCTCTGTCATATGTTACTTTTATAAGACAATCAGAAAGGCCATTTTTCCCAGCTATCCCAGGACTTCATCAATTTTTTGAGTCAGGCTGTGTTAACCTGTATTTTCAGGTAACCAGTACACAGGCCTTTAATGTTTTGCTCAGTCCACACCCGGGTGACTGAAGCAATCCATGCAGGTCTTGAAGGACTGCCGGCTGCCCTCTCCAGGTGTCTTTAAGACTGTCTCGGGAAGCCTATGGTGGGATCCTAGGCAGCAAAGCCCAGGCAGGTATATCGCAATGCATTCAAGTCAACTGCTCAACACAGTGACTACAAGTCCAGCCTGTTGGGAACGCAAAGCCGGGCCAGGCTTCACTCCTGTCCTCAGGAGTTCAGGGTCAGTGGGGACCGAAAGGCCCAACCCCAAGGAATGCCATGAACAAGCCTCAAGCCCCTGCGTCCTTGTTGTTTGGGGCTGCCATGTGGAAAGCACGCCAGCTGGATCCCACAGCAGCCCAGGGGCCACAGATTCTCGTTTCATTCAATGTTCAGACCAGGGTATTGTTCGCCCTAAAAAAAAAAAAAAGGCCATCCACAAGAGCACACACCCTTGCAACTCTGCTCTCAAGAAGCTGCATCCAGCTCTCCCCACACTGGAAAACACACATGCTGATTTGGAAAACAGCTAAATTAGAGTATATCTTGCTATACAGTTAGAAGGATGTGTTTTTTTTTAAAGTCAGCACACTCAATCACTCTCCTCAGGAGTTGAGCAGGTGTAGATTCTCATTTACACACACACAGACACGTTACTGTAGACTAAATGTACCCCCAGAATTCATTATGCTGAAATCCTAATCCCCACTGTGATGGTATTAGGAGGTGGGGCCTTTCGGAAGTGATATCATCAGGAGGACGGAACCCTCAGTGATAGCACTAGTGCCCTTGTCAAATGGACCCCAGAGAGCTTGCTAGCTCCCTTTCTGCCAAGTGAAGATACAAGATGTTGGTTGTCTGCAACATGCAAGGGAGGCCTCACCAGACCCCCACCAGGTTGGCACCCAGATCTCAAACTTCCAGCATCCAGAACTGTGAGAAAATACATTTCTATTGTTTATAAGCTACCTGGTGTATGATATTTTGTTATAACAGTCTAAACTAAAATGCACACATACACAAATGCATTTCTATTGTTTATAAGCCACCCAGTGTATGATACTTTTTTTTTATAACAGTCTAAAATAAGTCACACTCACACACACACACACACACACACACAGAAGCACTTAAGGTCAGGATTCCTTAAAGGGGAAAATAATCCAAAGCCCAAACGCCTGCCTGTTCCTTTAAATTCAGCACATGCACTTCAGTTGTTTGTGAATGGAACCTACCAGTATATTTTCTGAGATGGATATGCAGAGCTTGGAAAGGACCACCATCAGTTGTTGTAAAGAACTCATCTGAAGGCGCCATCAAACAATGACTCTATGCCTGTCCTTCCTGCCTATGATGTTCTCTGCCTCAAGGGTGTGTCCTGTGAACTGGTGGTGCAGTTCAGCCGCGCTCACCTTGACCCCCCATCACCTTCCTGGATCCTTCCAAGGAATGTAGTAATGTCTCCCCACTGGCCTTCTATCCCCAAAAAGCCCGCAATGGAAGAGAAGGCTGAGGGCAGGCGGCCAAGCTTAACCAGCTTCTTTTTACCCTGCAATTTGCTTCATAAACTAAGCCATTACTATATGAACTCCTTATCATTGGTACAGTTGACACACAGAGGTCTTTGTGTCATATTTTAGTGACTAACAAAGAATACTTAACTTTGGACCAAAATAGCCTGCCACCTTACAGACCAAGCAGACATTCAGTAGGAGACTGGCAGGGCCCAAAGCAAAAGCATTATGTACTGACTGACATCACCAGATGGAAACGTCTGTGTCGGGTCCCCAGAATGAGTGTTCTGGGGTGGCAAGTCAGGTCCTTCCACAATGGCCACACTTTTGAGGCTGATGTGGTTCACACTTAACGCTCAAACATAAGCTGGCCTCCCAAAAGCAACCAGACCCATTTA